GGGGGGGGGGGGGGGGGGGTTTGAAAACAAACAAACAACAACAACCCCAAAATGCTATGTTAAACTATGTTGTGTTAGGATTACGACTTGTCGATCTCATAGCAATGAAGATGTCAAGTTTAGTCCTCTGGGTGCTAATAAAGTTTGGATTTGTAAGCAGACACCAGTGATTAAGAGGAATATACTGCCTCCATTTTAATGGCTGAAGATGGAAGTTTGTATCTACCTACAAGTCCAAAAAATCAACGGATGTCAAAACAACTTGCTAATAATGTCATTGTTTTGTTTCTTTTGTTTTCTCTATATAATTTGTTTTGTCTGTAAACCATGTTAAGTCAGTGAAAATAACTGATAGCTATTTACAAACTTTTTAATTACAGAATTATTTCCTCGACAAAGTGCTTAATTTTGTCACTTTCAAATGATCCCAGCAAAAATAAATATCCCAAACACACGCACATTTAAGAGTTTTAATTTGCAAGACTTTTTATTTGCCATTTTGCAAAGTGTCAGCTTGTCTAAAAGGGTTAACACGAACACTTCCCACCTGTCCACCATTAACACTTAAATGTAATAAAACAGGAAAGAAATGTTTGCAATAAAAATCTGGGTATTACTGTTTACAGTAGCTCAGTGCCTGAAGACATAAAAATTAGAAATGCTAAGATCTACACTTTTCTTTCACTCCCTTTAGAGAAATGATGTCGTATTATCACAATTAATATACGGTAATTACTTACTATCCAATTATTTCCACTGTACAGCCCTAACTTCAACATATTCTGCAGTAAAAGTAAGGTTCAGTGCTACTCCACGCACTGGAAAATAGTACAACCGTTCAGATAAAATGCACTGCCGGCCAGCTAACTGAGGATTATACTCTCTCTATTAGTGCAGACACGATTAGAAAAGACACGTTATTGTAGGAGCATTAGGCGAGGAAGGCTGCATGACATTCCAAGCCTAGACTGTTTATATGCTAGTTGCTCACATGTTTGCGAATGATGCAGAGCATTGCATCACATTTTTCACTAAGAGGCCTGGGCCAGGTATACTATCACTGTTCTGAAAGTGCATGACTTTATTTTTATTTTTCATTTTTCTAAGAATTAACTGTGCCAACATGACTAACACTGATAACATAAATGCTCTGCACATGATCATAGATAAGACATAAGACTGCATTTCTTGTTGGTGGTAGGTCATTAATATAAATTAGGAAAGTAGAGGTTCAAACAAAATGTATTTTGAGTGTAATTTAGTTGTTTTAAAATATGATGTATGATTATTGCTAAGAAACTGTAAACACTTTAAAGCCTAGTGATAACTGTGAGTATAATCAGTACCCCTACTCCTAGATTTCTTACAGTACAGACTGAATTATTTAATATTATTTAGACTAACTTTGGCTTTAAAGGGTCAATAGTGTAATTATGTATGTATTATATGTTGCAGTGTATATTCTTTTGGAATATGTCCTGTATATAGTGCATTACTAGAAGTATTCTCTAAATGTGATATACCCTATCCCATATTATTTATAACCCTTCATTAAATACATCCATCTTGTTCATTTTAAAATTATTCATGAAAACAGATTTTCATAACTCCTGTCCAGATAAAGAAAATCATGATTAATGATCATTGTGACATAACAATCATAAAAAAGACTGCAAGTGAATTATATACATAAATTTATGATGGTTGCACAGTGCTATAATAAGGCAATTTAATTTTCACAGTCCAAGTCCAAGTCACAGAAGTGAAAATGTGAAGGATTTAAAACAATGGTATAACTGAATTGACTATGGTGTTCAGTCCAACTGCGTCATTGCATGTGCAAATATAAATCTTGGTTTCTTGCAGTTTGATTCTTCATACTACATTTCTTGTTACATGAGTTTTTGACGACTTGGTATTTGCCTAAATATTTCTACTTCCCCCTCACTTAATGGTACCTGCATCTTGTCTCGGTGGTGGGGCTTGAGTACCTCAGTGACCCCAAGAGCTATGCTGGCGGTAGCTTAGCTACTGGTAGGGCCTCCCTAGCCAGATTGGTCGAGGGGGAGAGGTCAGATTAAGACAGGTACCCTGGTCCTCCAGGTTGGGGATTGGTCACAAGGCTAACAACCTTGCACCGTAAAAAGGAAGATGTTTTGAAACCTCAATCAAAGCCTCGGACAGACGGACCTAACAGAGGACTGAATGGAAGAAGAGAATTGAGGAGGCCATGGACCAAATACGGACCGGAGAGCCATAGAAGAAGAAGATTTCTACTTCCCACACAACCAGCAGCTAATTGCCAAATTTCATATGCCAACCAATGGTTGAAACACATTTCTCTGAAAACTTTTCATATATGATACACAATATGGAATGGAATTTTCTTACAAACTTCCAAGCTGAATATCCCAAAATCATAAAACAGCAATAATGAAATAATGTGCTCCCAATTAATACAGAGAAAGAAAATCCACTCATTTATATAGTGTTATTTTTAACTGAATTTTTACACCACATCTGATACAATACATATGGGATAACACACACAAAGTTGTGAGTGAGTGTATATCCTCTTCCTTCTTACTCTTTAGAACAACAGATCTGGTAACTTACATCAATAAATCCATGAAAATGATGTCTAAGTTATGTAATTAGGCTAATATATGTGAGAAGAACTTTGCTATATGGTGAACATATGTACCTGCACTACATATGAGCTTTGTTTACAGTTATTAGACCTCACAAAACCTCCCATTCAAGGAGTTCTATCAAACATATAGGAAGAGGGTTTGAAAGGCTGGGAATTCTCCAGCATGCTATATGTCCTAGGAGCTGCAAATTTCTCGAAGACCTCACACTATCCCAACCTATCCAGCTAAACTAACCTTAGATTGAATTTGGATTTGATTAAAAATTATTTGCCCCAACCATTAACAATAACGAATTCAACTAATCACATAATTGTAAAGATGCACCAAATTATTTTTCAGCTATTATTTTATCACTGTGTCTTGCATTGTAAGGCAGACGTATGTAGGAAGACTGAACATACTTAATACTAGAACATGAAATAAAAGAGAGACAAAAATATTTACCAAAACATTATAAAATGGTTCATTAATCTAAGAAAACCAACCACTTTTTGGGCTAGTGTGAAATGTACGTAATTTTACTTCTAAATGTCAATGAGGTGCAGAGTACTGGCAACTGAAAATGATATCCATATCCTAAATCCACACGACTACAAGGACAAACATGTGCTATTTTACGTGCACAAATTAAACCAATATACTCACAGCGACAGAGTGTATGAAGGCCTACATCTCATGTGCCATTGATAAGAGTGACCCAACCTTCCTTTACGAAAAGTCACAGCATGGGCAGTGTTGTACTTAATAAGTCTCCACTAAACTCGCAGCAATGAAATCACCCTCGACAGTTCCTTCCTGCTGCACTTAGAAACACAGAATATTTATTCTTCCCTTCATGGGCAAGAAAATTACATTTTATCAAACCTTACAACCCTCACCAACCCCACTTTCACAGGACACAAATAATACGGATAGTGTAAGGATTCTAGAAACAAAGCGGAAGTGGCGTCTAATGTTGTGTTTCGTATGCTGCCATCTACGTTTCTACATTGAAACTCCGTGCAGAATAACCAATATTCCATTTCCCTTCCAACTACCCGTCACTGCCGATCGGCCGGTATATGTAATGGCAGTTTCACTCTCTCTCTAATAGCGCTAGAGCCCAAATCGAGCCCTGGCCTCAGATCTTTCGTAACATTGTTTTCCAGGATGGGGTTGTGAGCCCCACGCCCAACCCCAACCTGGATGACCAGGCCTGAGTTTCTTGACCACAAAAGTCATGTTTGCCCAGGCACAAGGTAGATCAGGTACCTTGGGGGTGCCACTCCCCATACCCCTTTCACTGTCAGAATATATAATTTAGTATGACTTCCTTCTGTCAAGTGCAATTAATTAACAACCGGGACTATCATCCTACTGGGTGGTGGTGATCTTTCGTTTCTGCAAGAATTTTAGTATATATCATATGTTTTACTGTAATGGATACTGGAGTGTAACATTATATCAAGATCTAAAAATGAAAGTACTGAAATAATTATTTTGTGCTTGTGCACTTATATAATTTGTGTATACTTTGCACTGGCTGAGCAAATTTTAACATAATGCATAATCCATGGTGTCACAGTTGTAAATATCTCAAACATATGTTCACTCCACACCAATGTGACTGTGCAAACGGTTCCAATCATTTTTAAACAATTAGAATACACAACCTTTAAAATGCACTTCACATCCTTAATGTATTAGCACAATATATCAGGCTTTATCTATCATATCATCATTTGACGATGGTTTCCGAGAATCAAAATGAATCCCTTTAAGACATAACGTAAAAATTAAAACAAATATTGTGTTTCGTCTTTCATATTTAATAAAATAAGCACAACAGCAGCATCTTACATATCACAAAACTATTCAAAACAGAATTATCCTCATAATAGAGTAAAACACGTGTTTGGGATTACATTAACTTATGATTAAAAACGTTTCATGCAAAATGATTATACTTTAGAATTAAACTAGAAATATATCCAGCTTTACTTATAAAACAATATATAGCATTAACAACTAATGCATATAAAGTATGACAAATAAACAGATTTAAAAATGGTGAGTTGGTGTCTGTCTGTCTCTCTGTATCAGGTAACTAAATAATTTGAGTGTCAGTCATTGAGATTCCTTTTATTTTGCAAATGCAGTAAACGCCTTATTAGCATAATGTTTCTGTTTGTCAGAAATATGCATGAAAAACAAATGCCCTTGGATCCTACCAGAACCAATGCAAAAACCAACATAATGGGAAAAAAATGACTGGTGATAAAACTTGTGTCTTCCAACATGACACAGATAATAATGGTGTAAATATGAAAACAATCCCAAGGTTTTAAAATTATGTAAATTATGCTATCTTATTCAGGAGATGGTCTAGTGGGAGGGTTTCTGCTGCACCCAGGGGTGGTCTGTTAGGATCTGTTCTGGCCTCTGCCAACCTTCAGAATACCTGGAATCTATTCCTTTGGTAGAAGCACCCATAGAGCAGATTCCATTATTCCCAATGGGACCTACAGTTTAATGTGGACTCTAAATTAGTGTTCTGAAACCTTTTTCCACCTCCAACAGATCCCAATTTGTCAGACACATGACAGCACACCACAAAATTTTGCCTCAGGAAAAGGGGCTATAAAACTAAACATGGCCATAAATATGTTTTTACATATAAACCCTTAAGCTATAAAAATGCAGGCATATGAAAACAAAACATTACAAAACTATCTTATGTTTAACCTGTGTGCATGTGTGTGTTTATTACAAATTCTAATTATGAAAGATAAGATACTGTCATTTCCTTACTATAACATGCAAATAAATAATTTCTTATAAAAATTCACAGCACACTGGAAATCTTGCAGCGGCAGTTGTGGAACACTGCCCTAAACAATAGTGCAAAACTAGCCCTCTATTACAGAAAACAAGGAATAACTGATTAATTACTGATAAGATGAGAATAACAATTCTAAAATATGTGAATATAAGTTTTAAAACATTAAAAATTAATTAACTCTACAACTGCCAGCTATATTTCTTGTAACAAGAGACCTAAATTTACCATAAAAAATGGTAACTACAATTTCTGTCATATCTTATATCTATTTCAAACACATGTATGGAAATAAAATCAAAATTACTGTTTTGAAATACTTTTTCCACAAACACAATAAGAGGTGAAAAAAAGAAGCTACAAAATGTCTGCATAGCACAACAATTATGGCATCGTCACTATGTTAATGCCTCTAAGTTTTGAATCAATGAATGTTAACTTTCAATGCTCTAAGAACAGCATATAATAGGCTGGGCTGATAAGCATAGATCTGCAATGAAACATTTTATAACAAATAGCCCAATTGTTCCCAGGTTAAACAGCACAAAAGTACCTTTATCTCAAAAATCATACGACTTATGGGAAAAAGTGTAATGAGCACAAAATGTGTTTCCTTTTTACAAGTTCTGTTCAAAACATTTTTTGTGATGGTAAGCATTTAGCAAATTACACTCAGGATGTCCAGCTATAACACATCTTTCATCACTGTCTGATTTTAATAAAAAAAATGAAATGTGTTGGTAAGTTTCAGCAAAACTACCAAATATCAAATTTAATAGAAATCCGTTCAGTGGTTCCCAAGCTGCTATAAGCACACACAGACAGACATGGCAAAGCTAATTCTTGCGACTTTTCTGCAAATACAGACATTTCCTTTCTTGTGCACACAATTCCAACACACAATATTTTCCAGTGTATAAGACACTTTTTACCTTCAAAACATGTCTCAGAATCACTGGGCATCTTATAGAGTGAAGGTTGCCACCCTTGACAGTGCAGGTGCACTCTGAATTGGCCCAGTTGTTAATTTCAGATCATATTCATTTTCTCCAACTCCTACCCCACAAAAGAAGCAACATTCAACAAGCAACATAATTTCATTATTTTAAATGAAAAATCCATTTTTAAAAGGTTAGATAGGTTAATTTTTAATTTTTAGTTTCATATCTTAAAATGATTTGATTTGAGGGTGTCTTATATATGGGATCATCGTACACACTGGAAAATATGGTACATTAAATGTTTCCATCTTAGAATTAATAGGTCAAAAATACTTTGAAAGAAAACGGACATTTTTGTTATTTTGTTGGTCCCTTACAAAAATACAGTCATACGCTGTATTTTAAAACTCGTATCACAGCCACTAATTACACTACATGACATATTAAAGTATGATTTCCTGAGCTGTGCATGTGTCATCGATAAAATGGAAATACAAAGTTTGTGAGAAAAGCACTAATATGTTTCCTAAGATTTGCACACAATACTAGTTAGTACATTCTGAACTGGCAGTCCTGTGTAAGGTGCTGTACATTCTGTTATAACAAGTTTCCGCCTTTTGCGTTTACATATCAAGATTACTTCTGCACCTGTATAGTGCTTGTGATGTTCACCCTGTAATGGACGACACATCACTATCTACACTAAACTACGCAATTATGTATTAACGCTTATTCTCACGGAAAATTATATAGTGAAAATGGTGTCTAGAATAACAGCATCATAACTATAAGCAGTTTCAACTACTAAAGATTGGTACAAAAATAAAAAGAAAGCAAAAGACACTTCAGTCAACAAATCATAACACTGAACATGGATGTAAAAGTAATATGTTTATAACTTGAATTACCAATGTGAAACATGCACTTGTTCTCAATCTCTCTTCATTATTGTTTCACCAGCGACATTCACTTGTAATACAAAGACTTCCTGGTTGAGCAATTACAAACAAGCACCATTGATTTTTAAAAAAGCAAATCATAAAATTATTAAAAAGATTCAAATATTGTTTTAAAATCACACCGCTTTAGAAATACAATATAAAACTTTAAAAATTCAATTGCCCACAGTCCTTTTTAATTCCCTAGGGTTCTTACTGGTTGAAACAGGGATTAGGAAACTGGGTAAACTTACAAAAAATTTACAACTGGAAATAACAACTATAAAAATAGTTGTCACCAGTCTTCATCGAATCAAATGTATTCTGAAGCCCTGTCCCTTCATATCCAGCAAACAATTTGAACATATTACATAAAACAGACAAATGAGAGAGAGAGCAATAAAATGAGAGCAAAATGAAATGTTTTATACTTATTTAAATACATTTCTATTCAAGGCTTTTAAATATGTGTATTTATCATTTTACTTAATGGCGTGTCAGTAGCTCAGATTATACGGTGTTCAACGATGTGGTGAATGACAAATTATAAATATGAAAAGACTGGAAATGGAAAGAAGTGGCTGCAGCCTAATTAAAGACATTATCACAGCACTTATCTGGAGGGACTGAGAAAAACTAAAAATGCCAGAGATATGAACCTAGGACCTCTTCAATACAAAGCAGGAGTGCTAACCACATGGCCATAATGTTGTACAAATTCTATAAAAAAAATGAGTTCATTTTTCAGGCAGTATGTGGGGGGAAAAATTATGTGTTACATTTGGAAAATTTTGATAAAAACGGAATGCAAAGTAAAAAAAGAAAATGGAATCTAAAGAACAAATCCCCAATCCTTCAAAACATCTGAAATCTGGTCGATGAACACTGAGAAAATTATTACACTGTCATGTTAGAAAACTTTTAAATGGCTCTGTCCAACAACAATCGTAACTCCTTTACTAATACTTTAGAAATTGAAATCATCATTCAAAGAAAAAAATACACATCACAATCTGTATGAAAAAAATTGCAAAACCGGTGTATAAAATGAATTTGTTACTTATAAACAAAATTTTCATATGACATGTCCAAATTTATGAAATGCTCTTACAACAGTACAGTAGACCATATACAAACATTTTACAAATACAGAATTTCAAGTGTGTGCATACAAACTGAGTACAACTGTTTCAGAATGACAGATCACAAATTTTATTTTAAAACTGTTTCATATTGGAATCCTGATACTATCAGTGTCTCCGCATTCAGTAACTATGGATGTGCAGCATTACCTACGCTTGAGCCTCTTCCTCATCACATAAATTAAGCTAGCTTGGAAAGTACATTCCATACCAGAATACACATATCCTCATGCGTTATCTGCAACGTGCATTTAGAGGTACTAAACCTATTAAATAGTTCCCACTTTGGCCACCAGATTGCAGAACCTCAACATCTACCTCATGACTTTCCTCATCCATTATTTTGTTATCAGTGCTCATAGCATATTCAAACATACAATTTTGAGGCCATGCAGAACAGCACAAACTCCACATTAAATTTCATCCAAATCTCGAGTTGAATCAACTAGACAGACAGACATGATCAGCCCATAAACAGATTTTTGCTATGCACATCATGTAAAGAACACATAACAATCTAATTTTTATTTCAGCATGGTGAAGTTGCAGCCTCGAGATTTACAACTGTTTTAATTCAGTGCAATTCGGTTTGTCATGAAAAAATTTGTTAATAAACCATGACTAACCTTTCATAGAATCAAGTTCAAATGCTGTCTAAATTTTGAGTAACGTCACTCCTGCTTCATATAAGGGAGGATGTACATTCAAATCTCAGTCCACAGACCAGATGTCCTAACTGAGGTCTGTTGTGGTTTCCCAAAGTCCCACCAGGTACATGCTAGGTTAGTACCTTACATGAGGCCTTCCATATCCTTTTCAATTAATTGTTTGTTAACATCCTACAATTCAGTACTCTGAGCTACTGACATTAGTGTCAAATAGACTACATATATAAATATATATAAATCACATATCAAGAATCAAATCACAGCAGTCTACTTTATCAACTAAAATGATATAGTTCCTTTCATAAAGCTTACTGCAAACTCCTGATTATCCATGTGCAGATTATTCACAACTTTTTTTACATAAATGTTGGCACACATGAACTAGGCTTTTACCATCTTTCCACGCTGTATTGTTTGCTTTGAGGAATGCGGTTGGTTTTGGGTGGGTCCACAGAAGATATGGTTACACAATAACTTTATTTCAGTGCTTACTGTCAGTATCAGTGGTAAAGTAAAGTTTGTCCCACTCTACGCCATGTAGGCGTTTGGGGTTAGTGGAGGTATAGCTCCTCTCTTTCTTGACCTCGGCACTAGATGGGGGTGAGTGGTCAGCATCACGCCGGCCGTGCTTTAGCCCCGGGAAAGCACCCCGGTAACCATTGTAGAGGAGGCTGGGTGGGCCCCAGAGCCGGTCTGGACGCAGAGGCTAGAGGAAAAATCCTCTGCCCTCGTCGGGGATCGAACCCCGCAGTATCAGTGGTGGGGAGGTTTTTTCTGATGGTTATGGTGGTGGAGAGAGCAGATACTACAGATTCTTGGTCCTTTCCAAATATAAATGTCTTAGAATCAATTTCATTAAACTCTCTTGTGCAGTTAGACGAAAGTAATAATTAAGACTTGTGGGTCGAAAGCAAAATGGCCCAGAAACATACGAAAAGGGCAGTGACAGTAAAACAAAAGCTCAAGTTAAATGAAAATGTTCAGAACAGAGAATCAGCAACAAAATTAGCTAAAGATTATGGTAGAGGGATTGAGTGATTGCATCCATGAAATGGATTCTTGTTGATAAAGATGACAACATAATAAGATTATAGAAAAAATGACAGTGTTGGATGCCATATATGGCATATTTCAGACACAGTCTTCCACAAATCCAGTAACACTGGTTTGATCATAGAAGAAACTTCTTCCACATCTAGAAGAAAATTATTTGCAAGGTTTTCCTAATGAAGAGATCAGCAAATCCTAAATTCTTGACATGTTGTGTGCTATGAGAAATTTTGAAAACACCAATGAAGATAACATTGTAGAATAGACATAAAGCACTGTATGTGAATTAGGCTTCCAGTACATGACATACAGAAACTAAAAGAGCTGGCATGAAACAAAAGGGAGAAGTGGAGGGTGGGGAGGATAAGAGTGAAGAAGAAGGAGAATGGAGTGAAATCATGGCAATGCAGTGTGTTGACACTTTGCAAGACTACATGTGTCAGAAAGGGTCCAGATACAGTCACATTACAGCTGCCAGGAAAATTCATACAGCTGTGAGGAACAAACTAAACTCTTCACAAAAACAAGCAACAATTACAAACTGTTTCTCAGAATAAACATCAGTTGTGCAAGAAATATGTAAAGTTTTGTGAATGCACCAAACAAAGTATTTTGGAGTATCTGTTTTTGTCCATTATCCACTCCCATTCATAAGCCCGGCTAATTGGGAGTCTACTGTATATTCTATGCATAAATAAGAGCACTGTTTCAGTGTACTGGTAACATTCATAAAAATCTATAGAATATAACAGTTTTGTTTTTAAGAACCTGAATAAAAAGTCAACATTTAATATTTCAATTTATACAGCTTTACCAGACTAGTAAAATACGGTTACAAAATTATAAATTACTGTCAGTGAAATACTTTTAAATTTATATCAAGTAATAAGCTACGTTTCAGTTCTCAGAAGATAAGAGCAGGAAAAATAAATTTTTCGTGTGGGGTAGCAATATGTTTCGCACAATGTACTACCATAGCTGATCTGCTGATTATCAGTTTTGAATGTGTATAAAACATGCATAAGACTTGTCAGAGCAAGAAGAAACAGGCAATTTACACTGGGTACTTCATAAGAAATTACAGTCCCTAACACATGGTAACATGAAACAATGTAAAATATAAATTCCCCACACATAAAATAACAGAGGGCTTCTTTGCCTAACATTTTGTTCTATCACATTCTTTAGAAATTAGCATTCTAAGAAAAGAGATTACCTTACTTCATTCTCCTCTTCCTCAAGGACTGTATCCACAAGAACTGATATAATAATCACATACCATCTTCTCCTTCTTGAACTGAAATTCTTTTGGACATCAGCAAGTAAACCATGCATCTTCATCAGTAGGCACATTTTTCATTTTTCGTTTCACTGCCGTTGCACCTGTTGCTATAATGAAATTCATTAAAAGTGTAGCCGTACACTTAACGCACACAAGGTTTTCTTTATAGGATTTGAGGTTTTCACAGCAGTGAGTCCGGAAATGGCTGTCTTCTAACTCAGTGGTATTAAACTTTTTTGTTCGCGTACCCCCAGATATAATTTCTCTTCAACTTTGTACCCCCAAAGTTGTTGGTGTATAATTCAAGTTATACATAGTATATAATCAACATCTAAAATAAATTAAATAAATTACATTACTGATTATTCAGTGTTTATCATAAAATAATATATATATTTTTTAAATTTCACGTACCCCCTAAGATGTCTTCGCGTACCCCAGGTTGAATACCACTGTTCTAAGTTGTTGTACCATGTAGTCTGGCAGAAGTTTAACAACATTTCACAGGTCCTTGCTGCCTCCATTATCAGGGCAATAACTCTCATCGCCCTGATGATGGATCTCTGAAATGTCGGTAAACTTCTACCAGACTACATGGCACAACGACCCAGAAGACAGCCATTCTAAGGTTTTCTTTTGGTAATTCCCTGTATAACAAAGAAACTAGCTAGGTTTATAAAAATATGTTTGGATGAAATTTATACATAAGTTCACATAGGGAAACATTGCCTGATAAACTTCCTTTTCAGAATTACCTGAAAAATTAGGAAATGGTTTATTAGCATTGCTTAACAATTCTGCTTCAGAGCATCATTAGAAAAGTCAAATGGATGCACACCACAAATACAAATAAAATGAAGGGCATGTAAAACAAGAATTATTACTTCAGAGCAGATGAGAGCGAAGTTTATTCCAACCATTGTATCAAATGCAATTGCCCATTTTATTACAAAAACTGATTTGAAATTACTACAGATTAAAACAAGACATTTTAGTAATGAATAATATGTGAAGATAGTCTAATGTGTAATTGGTTTAATACACATAAAGATGCTGTCCACATACACCAAAGCATCTGTGGCTAAACCCCAGGGATTCTGGACATCTTATTCAAGATTTGAGATCTTGAAAACAGTCCTTTTAATTCACTTCGTACTACTTCAAATTTTTTGTAATAAATCTGTATACTTTATAAAACACTGACACTGGTGATTTGGGACAAGCAGGACACATACTTGAATAAAACAACAGCTACGAAGGTTACAAGAAATCAAGGACATGTTTTGTTTATCACTATTTATAGGACTCAAAAAATGTGTTTAATGTTCTACTTACTTTCTATGTAACATACTTCTGCATTTGCATTGCACTTGGTAAGATAGTTAAGCCACATATTCTGGGCAACAGACAAACGATCACCTGGGCCCTTCACTTCCACAAATTTATACTGCAAACAGAAAGAGACATACTTCACAGAAACAATAGTCATGATATAAACAATAACATGAACCATCCTTCTACAAAGAAGTTGCACATGGCATATAAGACTATCTTCTCCTGTAATTACTTGTAGTTACAAAATAAAATTAAAAAATTTGACAAGAAAAACACTGTTATTTTCCATTTTAAAGAAAAATCAATTCAACAAGAGCTGAATATTTTAAAATATAATCTGTTATCATACTAACTATATGAACCATTCACTTTCCATGGCTGCCATGTACACTTTTCAACACAAAAAAATTCTCCTTACATAATTTATAAATGTTTATATTTTCCACTACACTGAGTTTCATGTACAGTAGGGCCCCGCTTTATGGCGATCCGCTAATACGGCGCTCAACAGCTGAGTCAGAGAAGTGCGTCCGGCGCCATTTTCTCGTCGCTGATTCAGTCTGTTTACAGCTTTTGTGCGCTCCACGTCTCTGTATTTCTGGCAATTTTTCAGTTATTACAAACTGTATATTTATATAATATTTTTGTGTTACTACAGTGTAATTACAATGGCGTCTAAGGGTAGTAGCGATAAAAAGAGGAGTCGTAAGCCTCTTACTTTAAATGCCAAGTTAGATATAATTAAACTTCGTGAACAAGGCTTGTCTATGTCCGAGATAGGACGTAAGCTAGGCCTAGCTCGCCAAACTGTTAGTGCCATCGTGAACGCTAAGGAGAAAGTGTTACATGAAATTAAAAGTGCCACACCAATGAACTCTAAAGTCATAAGAAAAAGAGATAGCCTTATTGCGGACATGGAGAAACTTTTAGTTGTGTGGATTGAAGATCAAACCAGCCACAATGTGCCTTTAAGCCGAGGCATCATCCAGGGCAAGGCTTTAAGTCTCTTCAATTCTATGAAGGCTGGGAGAGGTGAGGAAGCTGCTGATGGGAAATTCGAAGCTAGCAGAGGATGGTTTCAAAGGTTTAAAGATAGAAGCCAACTTCATAACATTAAAGTGCAGGGTGAATCGGCTAGTGCAGAAACAGAAGCTGCAGAGAGGTATCCACATGAGCTAGCTACGATAATCGAAGTGGGTGGATACACTAAAGAACAGATTTTTAATGTAGATGAAACTGCATTATATTGGAAAAAGATGCCTTCCAGGACTTATATTGCCAAAGAAGAGAAGTCAATGCCTGGATTCAAAGCTGCAAAAGACAGGCTAACACTCTTGTTAGGGGCTAATGCAGCTGGTGATTGTAAGTTGAAGCCTATGCTCATTTATCACGCCGAGAATCCTAGGGCACTAAAGAATTATGCAAAAGCTAGCCTACCAGTTTACTATAAATCCAATGCCAAAGCATGGATGACTGGTAATCTTTTTACAACTTGGTTCACAGACTATTTTAAGCCTACAGTTGAAGCTTACTGCAAGGAAAAGAAGATTCCTTTCAAGATTTTACTTCTTTTTGATAATGCACCAGGACATCCTAGAGCTCTGATTGGCATGTATCCTGAGATACATGTTGTTTTCCTGCCTGCAAATACAACTTCATTACTGCAACCTATGGACCAAGGTGTAATTGTTAACTTTAAAATGTATTATATAAGGAGGACTTTCGCTAAGGCTATAAATGCCTTGGACAGTGATACATCAGCAGCATCAAAAGAAAATAAATTAAAAGCATTTTGGAAAGGTTTCACCATTCTAGATGGTATAAAAACTATTAGAGATGCATGGGATGAAGTTAAAGAAAGTACTCTTACAGGCGTTTGGAAGAAACTAATTCCAGAACTTATGGACAATTTTGAAGGGTTTTCAAATCCAGTGGAGGAAGTGACTTCAAATGTTGTGTAAATGGCAAGGGAGTTGGAAGTCGATCCTGAGGATGTGGCAGAATTGCTTAGGTCTCATGACCAGCCCTTATCTGATGAAGATCTTCTTCTGCTTGAAGAGCAAAGGAGGATTTTTCAAGAAGAGGAGTCTCATCCTGATGATAATTCTGATGTCCCGAGAGAAATGACAACCAAGGAATTGCAAGAATATATCAACCACATAGAAATTGGAATAGCAGGTTTTGAGAGAATAGACCCAAATTTCGATAGAAGTTCTAAAGTCAATGCTACTCTTCTAAATGGTATTGCATGCTATAAGGAAATTCTAAGGGAAAGGAAACTATATTCTATGAGGCAAAGCTCATTGCTCTCATACTTTAAGAAAGCACCAGCCCCATCTTCAACTGCAGAAATGTCAACTTCATCAGCAACACCAACCCCTGCAAGAGCTTCTGAACCATCACCAAAACGAATAAGATTCGTTGAAGAGTCAGATGATGAAGATGCGCCATCTCCTTCATCCTTCCTACTATAAGCATATCAATTTGCAAATTTATATTCACCAGTCACTATAAGCTGAGGACAATGTGTGT